GTGTAATGGGACAATAACTGCACCTGCCTTGTAGGGCCGTTTGGAGAATTAAATGGTGCTGCCTGGCCCATACCCAGCACACAGTAAATGCTCGATACAGGTCAGCGATTGAGTGTTGGGGGCAGTGGAGTCCAGTCCCTCAAGAAGACCAGGGATCACAGAGTGAAGGAGGAGGATGGGGTCTTCAAAAGACAGCAAAGGAGGGCAGTGGTGGTGGTGGTGGTTTGGTAGCCTCCTTCTGAGCCCCTTTGGTGCATTCACCTGTTCAGGTGGCCTAAAGCCAGGCAGGTGAGAAGGCCAAGGGTTCAGGTGGAGAGTCTGCCGGGGTAACTAGGACACTTGGAACACCCAGCCCAGGAGGCTCTAGAGTTTTCCACCTGGATGGGAGTAGATGGAGCAGCATCAGGAGCCTCTGGACCAGCAGGAGCTGGCAGGTCGCACAGGGACCTTCTTACAGGAGGGGGCTTCTAGCCACCTTTCCTGGAGGGGGTGCAAGCAGGATGTTTGCTCACTGGAGCACAAGTCAGAGGACGGTCACAGCATCACCTGCGCTGGGCCTCACGTCAGCCCTGGGAGGTCAAGGCTGTCATCTTATCTCACCGATGAAGAAACTGAGGCTCCCGGGGGCAAGTGATTTGCCCAGGCCCTCCAGTGGGTGGAGACAGAGCTAGGACCAGGGTCCAGATGTCCTGCCCCACCTAGCCCCTCAGCTGCCTTGTGAGGTCGGACTGTGCAGGGGGATCTGAGCGCTGGGGTGGGGCAGTTCTGGTGGGCTTCTGAGAGGAAGTGAGGAGGAACCAGGTGGAAGGTGGAACAGGCAGCAGTTCTTTATTCAGCAACTCTGTACTGAACACCTACACTGTGCTAGCCAGCTGGACATCAGCTGGCCTTGCTTAGTTTACATTCTAGTCAGGGAGACAAGCAATAATCGAGCAAAATTAAAACTGACAAGATCATTTCAGAGGGCAAGAAGTCCCGTGAAGAAAATACAACTGGAAAATATGCCAGTAACTGGGGCAGGGCGGGGGAGGGGCCCTCTAGCTGAGGACAGACGTGGACGGAGGCCCGAATGGTGAGCAGCCAGCGTGGAAACTGTTCCCGGCAGAGCGAACAGCAGATACAGCAGATTCGAAGATCCCAAGGTGGCATCGAGCTTGGGGATTTGCCGCAGGCAGTGTGAACTCCTAACCGCCCCTCTCCTTCCTCCACAGCCAAGCGCCCAGCACCGGCCAGGCCCACCATGCCGCCCCCCCAGGTCTCCAGCACCCGCGGCTCCCCTCCAGCCCCACCCCCGCCCCCTGGCTCTGGCAGCCCTGTGACCCCCCGGGCTCTGCCCCGCCGTCTGGTTGGCAGCAGCCTCCGGGCCCCC